TTCCAACGCAATAACATTCAAATATGAGACTAGATTAAAGAAACTATTTCACCGAAAATTAATCAGTTCTTGCTTGACGGTAATGAAAGAACGATGTTACAGAGGATAATTGGAACTTGGAACAGCGCCATGACGTCTGTGCATCATGACGTAACTCTCATATAACAAATACAGCACACTTTCTTCTTCATTGTTTTTTGCGATTTATTCCGAACTATTTTATATATATATATATGGTCAGTTAAGCCTCAGGCCATGCAGGCTTTATATTGTGGACCAAACGCCCCAAACTCGCACAAGCTGAAAACGAGACAAAACTCCTTTCCCACAGCAGTGACAAAGGTATACAGTAAACTACGGTTATAACGAACTGACGGATATAACGAACCTACTTTTTTGGTCCCGACTATTTGCTGTAGTTAAGCTGTATATATGCCTATAACGAACTACGGTTATAACAAACTAAAATTAGTAGTCCCTTTGAGTTCGTTATAACCGTACTTTACTGTACATTGATAACTGTTTATTCCACCTTTGATCTACTGAAATAAGTTTTCTCTCATATCGTTTTCACATTAGCGCAACTAAACGCAAGAAACCAATTATTTCCCCTTAGAATTCAGATGGTTTATTAGTTTTTCCTAATGGCTGCGTGTCTACCTGCCATAATTACTTGTGTGGACAAGGTTTTGGAGGCACAAGTAACAACCAATTTCAATACGGCTATTGGACAGGGTCATCCTGGTTGTCTTCAATGAAGGAACTCAAGGATTTACCACATTTCCTCGATTAAACGCCCGGGTCTATATATTTCTTTCAGACATTCATTACCCCATGTGTTTATTTGAGGTCCGGCGTATAATTTCAATTTCCGACTTACAGTAAAGTACGGTTATAACGAACTCAAAGGGACTACTTATTTTAGTTCGTTATAACCGTAGTTCGTTATAAGCATATATACAGCATAACTACAGCAAATAGTCGGGACCAAAAAAGTAAGTTCGTTATATCCGTCAGTTCGTTATAACCGTGTTCGTTATAACCGTAGTTTACTGTAATAAGATTAGCTCAGGCTCATCTTCGGTACCGTAGTTTGAAAGTTCATTAAAAATGCTTCTGTTTAGCGGTCGATCGATCGTTATGCAAAGACAATAATGGGAAGAATCCCATGCATGAAAACTATACCTGGCGTTTAATCGAAGCTCGGCTTTTATTCGAGTCCCGGCGTTTTTATCCAGGAAATACGGTATTATTAGAGTCACTGTATTGTGATTTGGTTTTGTTTGTGTTCCAGAGTGGCATTGGCAGGAGGCGACAGTTAATGATGTCCACTCTGTGGTCATCAGCTCACTGGACGCTATTCACACACGGTAATTAATTCCTCATGCATGGTGATTAGATGACAATAGATCGCATGAGTATGCACCTGCGCAGATGGAATCCTCCCAAACCGCCCGGATGTATAGGGGTCTTCTCCAAGGAAGCTATTGTTATGCACGTTGATATTAACAGTTTTGATGTTAGGGGTATGGATATTATGGACTCGGACTTTTGTTACATTGGAATTATCACAGACATTCAATCACACTCACATCCACTCATGCACTGTTTGCACTAAACAAAATGCATAGATATTAATAAAACAGTAAATAACAGTATAATTAGATATAAATTGTGTTACCATTAGTGAAATAAAGGTAAGTATACACTAACAATGTATTGAGCATTCTACCAAAAGGACTTTTTTTTAGAGCCATACCGCCTCAAAATGGCTCCTATGGCCCTGAAATCCAACATATTTAGACAGTTTTTATATCTTCCTTAATTAAACTTGGAGAAAACGAAGTTGAGCTTCCCATCGTTTCATCTTTTAATGATAACGATAGAAAGTTTAATTCTCGAAAACACGCCCGGACACAAGAAAGTCACAAAACACGGGCGGACACAAGAAAGTTGAATTGTCAGAAAACACTCGCGGATACACACGGGACATTCTTCATGGTGTATAATCATCTTCCCGAGGCAAGGGAGTTAACTGACTATAAAAGTCCAGTTTCCACCTTTGCCGAACTAGGCTGCAATTATTGAGTTACATTTTGGCTGGACTAACGGGTCTATGCATAGTCCTATCAAAATCGCTTAATGAACAAGATATCCGGTTCCTGAACAAAATGGATTTCATGTGCTGATTTCGGTCGACTGCAGGATTTGCAAAGCATGTGTACCGCCGACTGGGCGTTGACAGATATTTTGCAATTTTTTCATGCTTTTATTAAGGTGCTCACGTGATTTGATGCACTTCGCTTGGTAAGACCTGTTTTATAATAATATAGATCTTGATTATTGAGCAGATCGTCTTGACTGGGCGCCGCCATTTTGATTGAAGCAAATGCAAGTGATATGAAAGATGGACCTGATTGGTCAATAGGAGGAACATAGAAGGGACATAACTCGTAATAGCCACTGGTGGCGCAACGATCGAGCCTGGAAATTCCAGCCTGGTTCGGCAAGGGTGTAAGCTGGACTTGTATAGTCAGTTAACGCCCTTGCCCCGGGAAGATGGTGTATAATGATGTCTGTCTCAGGGTTTCTCTAGATTTAAAATCTGAGGTCTCGTTGACTTTTAATAAATATATTGCAAGTCAATACAAGTTTAAGAGCACTTGCTCATGGCAATTTTATTACTTCTATAATCAGACGGTCAGCCATGTAAGAATGGCTGGGAAGATTTATGAACTTGTCTGTATTTCAATAATATTAAGGTATGAATTGGGAAGCAAACAAACAGTGTTTTCAAGCTAGAGCAAGGCTACCGAATATTTAACCGCGCTTAATTGAATTGGAACCGAACTAAATGAAGCGCAGTTAAAGCCTTTAACAATTGTTTTTCAGTATGCGGTATTTACATTCTCTTCGATCATGTACGATGCATCAATATACGTTACGCACCCATATGAGTCTGAGACCGTGTTCACCGGGAGAGGAATGATAAATGTTGTTATTTAAATTCGTACCTAAAGTAATATTTGGCATTTGTTTATGAAGTTTACTTCGCACTAACGTGCTCCCACCAAGCGGGAATGTATTATTAAGTCACTAATACAAAAGTGAGTGAGTTGGGTTTAACGCCGCTTTGAATAGTATTCTGGAAATATCACGGTGTGTCAGCCTAATTTGGGAGGAAAGCCCAAAGTGATGCAGGTCCCAGATGAAACCCACGAGCTCGGGTATGGTGTAGACAATCAGGAACACTATCGGGGCGAACCGGGATTCGAACTCACGGTCATACGTTTCTGGCGTGCCCAGGGGGACGCAACTCTGCACCGTGAATTGATGCGCCTAAGACGACTTGGCAAACCATGTCCGCTAATAATACAAGCCGTAAACGAAGAGTGAGTTGTGTATTACTCCGCTTTGAACTAGGAGTATTAGTAGAACACCAGGAAATACGGGTTGTCTTTCCTGATCGAATTATGTAAAAACGCCACAAATACAAAGAAACTTCGCGAAGGTCAATCTTGACCATGTTCCACAAGTGATCTTAGCACTAAAACGAAAAAAAAAATTCCATGTTTTAACCTAGAATTACGACATTCAAACAGTTCAAACTCCTGTAAAGATCCTGGTTAGAATTGGTCTTCAGCAACCTATGCTTGTAAGTGGCGACAAACGGGATCGGGTGGTCAGGCTCCCTGACTTGGTTGATGCATGTTATCGTATCCCAATTTCGTAGATCAATGCTCATGATTGTCTGGTACAAGATCGATTATTTACAAACCGCAGTCATATAGGTCCAACTTATAAACTATAGGAGCTTATATTTACGCGGTATATGGGTCACAAATAAGCGCGGTATAACGAGACACGCTTTATAACAGTTGTTATCGCGGGCCGCTGCGCGGACTGCACGTGCAGAAGAGGGCTGTACGTGCAGAAAGAACCGCGTGCGTCGTACCACATGGCATTGTGTCGTTGACTGTTCACAAGAGAGGATGTCTGACGATGACGATATTTTCCTTACTCAAAGTAAGTTAATTGATGAAAATTCTGTAGAAAAGGATGGGGATGACTTTTGTTTCCGTTTTGGTGACCCCAGAGACCATATAATAGATTATTATATGGTCTCTGGCGACCCTTTGTCAGATGATGAAGTTGCTAAAAATTGCTCCCCAGGTTTTACAATTGCAATTGTAAAACCTGAGGAGCAATTGTAAAACCTGCTGATGGGTCTTACTACAAACATGACAAAAGAAAGGTCGTCTGGGAGATGGTTACAACACCATGATAGGTTTATAATGCCGCTTACACGATGCTGGTGTCGGCGAGGCCGTCAATATGGTTTTCCCGAGGTTAGGCAGGAGAAAGTAGCCTATGGCAATTTGGAGTGGGTGGATAGAGATCTACGGCGATTAAAACAACAAATTTCACAGCAGGTTACACCAAGAATGGATTACACACATTGTATTGACTGTATCTACATCGGGAATCGAACCTGGTTCTTCAGCGTGACGAGCGAACACTCGACAATTACTTCATTTCCTCATATTTGCAGTCACTTAAACTTAAATATATAAGTCAATGGAAACTAAGTCAACGTATCGAAGAAACTTATAATGTTTACTTTATGTTCTTCATAGTATTTTATTTTAAAAGGTATTTTAAATAGTACAAAGCGATATTAAAAACAAACTCATGAAATCACGTTTTGAAAGACTGTTCTTAGCACAAATGACATCAAAAGAAATAAAGTTTAAACTTTGTTAATATATTTTGTCATATATAATGTTTTGTAGTTGTAAAAACGTTTATTCGTCTTATATTTCCTTTCACTTGTGAAACATGCTCAATATTATTAGGAGTCTTTTTTTGTTTATATGACGTCATCTTTGACATATTTGTTACTATTTATAGACTAGTCACACCTTGCAATTTTGCTTTACCTGCATTAATAGAGCTCACTGATTGGCTAGTTTTCCTAGGTAAACCAATCAGAAGCCGCGAACAATAAACAATACTGCGTCATGTCGCCATTACACAGACGTGACTACTCATATCAGGACAAACCGGAATTACAATTGTATCAAGCAAATACCTCCGCGTGTTGTCTTAATCACTAATTGTATACCTTAGAACAATGTCGTTTGTCAACAGGTAAAACCCAATCACAGGTAAACAGCAGCTATAGGCACATTGGAGTGAGTGAGAAGGCGGGGTGATCAAAAGTCGGAAATCCATCGATTGGAAGATAGTGTTTATGTGTACACGTTGAATAGATTTGTCAACAGAAATATATACTATAAATTGAGAAGAAAATGTCGAAGAAGGAAAGGAAAAGGGTTTTGGCAGAAATTTGGGGAACACCAACCGCCCGTGACATTGACTTCTTTGATGAAGGAAACGAGATCGTTGTGACATCGTCACATCGGGAAATCGCAGCATGGTGGATCGACATCTTCCAAGTTGTCTATCCCGACGTCACATGTTCCGAGAAAAGAGACATTATCAAACTGAAACCGGTACATGGAGTCAGCTTAAAGTTGAACAAGGCAAATGGTATTTTGAAAGTCACCGGCAAGAACCACTGGAATTGGTTCATTGAGAACTTCAACAGTCTTCTTGAACATGGCAACGACAACGTGGAAATGTTAACTGAAGCGTCGGAGAGTTCCGTCACACGATTCCTCCAGCTCAATAAAGATGACGAAGAGGCAAGTACTGTGATTGTTATAATTATTATGAATGGGAGTATATAATGGTTATGTCATATCAAAGGGTTTATGTTAAATGATTGTTAGGTTAGAGCAGTTTGTTGTCTAATGCCGCTCTCAGCAATATTACAGCATTGTAACTGTGGTATGTAAATAATCACATCTGGACTAGAACTGCGTTCCGGTACTTGACATGAGCCTCGATCTACGTAATTGGAATACGATTACATGCATCAACCAAGTCAGCGAGCCTGACCATCCAATACAGTTGGTTGCCTCTTACGAAAAGCATGGTTTGCTGAAGACCACTCGTGGAGATCTGGGTTAGAATGGGTCTTCAGCAACCCTTGATATTGTTTGTTATTTTTGGGGGTATACATGTATTCAGTCAGGATAGAATCGCACATATCACTCTGACTAAAATACCCGTGAAGACCCAGAGTAGAATAAGTTTTCAGCAGCCCATGCTTGTCGTAACTAAAGGGATCGGGTGACCAGACTCGCTGACTTGGTTGATGCATGTCATTTTATCCCAATTTTGTAGATCGATGCTCATGATGTCAATCTCTGGATTGTCTGATCCAGAGTCAATTATTTACAGACCACTGTCATAATAGCTGGAATATTGCTAAGTGCGGCGTTAAACAAATAAAACACACTGCCTGTTGGATACATACTGTTGCAGTTTACATGGCTAGACAGGAATGACTAATTATATTACAATATGTACCAGGTCAGATACAATGTTGCATTTCTTGTACCTTATGCATGGTATAAGGAGAAATGGTAGTTTATTTCATGTCTTTGAATACAAGTTCGTTTTTTCATCACTCGCTGTTGCAAGGAAAATTTGAAATAACTCAATTTTATACCAACTTATTTGCAGGTACAAGATTTGTTGGATATGATCCCCGAGGGTGGAGGAATTATGGGGCATGACTTCATCATGCGTGTATGGAAAAGTCTGATCGACGACTGGTGTGGGGTTGGAGCCTGTGTTTACGTGGTTACGCCCAAGATAGACTCCGAACGCCTTTTGCAAGTCATGTTATTGATGATACGCAACAAGGGAACAGGGTTCAAGGTCACCCTTGTTACCCCGACAAAGTCAGATGGGGAGAAGTTTTCCAATGTGATGGACAAAACCAAACGGAGAATGAAAGAAGTGAAGACGGGCCGTGGCACACGGTTGCTCTCCGATGTCAAAATGGAGTGGGTTGAGAACAGTCTTGAAGTGCGACATGAGGATTTTTCCACAAACTTTATCGCAGCATATAAGGACAGTGAGGCTGAGGTCTTGACTACCACTGCACATTTCCATAAGAGTCATTTCCATTTCAACCAGAAAGACAATGTCTGCTACAACCGACTCCCAACGTCAGACCTGAAACGTAATTATCTCTTTCCGCTGGGGATTGGGAATAACATATTTTGAAGTGTCAGTGACAAAAGCAGTGAGCCTGTGTTGTCCCAAGGATGTGAGTGATTGTCTCTGTGTCGAACTTACACTGCAAAGTGCCATATGGAACTATTCCTTGAGATGACGTGAAGATGGAGCAATACCTCATGGTCATGAAGTACTGACATTTATGCAATGGCAAATATACCTGTTTATTGCATGTGATTGTTTTAAACTTAACAAATGTGTGAATAGGACAGATTTTGAGTGTGAGGAATCATTGACTCAAGTTTAGTTCTTTCGAAATATTCAACTTTTCATTTCAGAGGTTTTTTGCCCAATTGCGATATTGTGTTTTTTGCTTACTCGTCATGCTCATGATGCTGTTAGTGTTATGTTGTTGGGATCCTTGATTTTTGTTATATACTACTCAGAGGAAGTTAAAGAATACCCAATTTTTCTTATGACTGTTGCAACACACAGCCTTCCAATTGTGGGTGCTCTTTAATTTGTTTAAAGTAGTATATATTTCCACTCAACTTTTGGTATAGTTATTCTGAGTGTATAGCATGTCCCGTTTGGAACACAAATGGCATTCAATATTGCTGTGGAAGTGGCTGATTGTCTGCTTCATTTGACGTTATCCGAAATGAAAACACATATTGGTTTAGCTGCCCTGAAGACTACCAGTAGTATGAGACTTCTCAGTATCCCTATCAGAAGTTGAGTAGTGTAATCCTTAACACAACGTGTTTGAAATGTTTATCGTATTGTACAATATTACCCTTTTGTTCAAATATGATTTTGTGAAAGCCAGTTCTTGAATTTGACAGCAATAAACAATACCTCTAAGCATGCTCAGTCTCAAGCTAACGATACAGAGTCTGAAGGAATCATGACTGACAAGGGATCAATAAGCTTTACTGTTGGTTTGTTTGTTTAACACTGCACTCAGCACTATTCCAGCTGAATGAATGGGGGTCTGAAAATAATCAAGTCTAGACCAGACAATCCAGTATGCAATTGGGACACGATGACATGCATCAACCACTTAAATGAACTTGACCACCTAATCCCATTAGCATGGTTAGTCGCCTCTTGCAACAAGTATAGTCACCTTCTATGACATAATGGGATATCCTCAGATCTTTCAGTGAGATTGACTATGACTTTGTTAATTGCTTGATGGCAGCGATCTTTTCACTCTTTTACAAATTAAAACTTGTCTCCATCATATGAAAAACAGTTTATTCTTATTCTGCAGTAAATATGTTATGTCGCCACTTATGACAGCACCCAGATTTAAGCATGCTAAATCCAACATGGTTAGCATACTTGCTATTAGGGATGTAACAGTGCCCCTTGTGTTGCAAAGGCGAGTATGTTTGTTGTAAAAGGTGACTATCGGGATTGGGTGGTCAGGCTTGCTGACTTGGTTGATGCATGTCATCGATCCTACTTGTGTGGATCGATGTTCATGATGTCGATCACTGGATTGTCTGGTCCAGACGCGATTATTTACAGACTGCCGTCATATAGCTGGAATATTGCAACAAACAAACCAAACTTGTATTGCATGACTCAACATCCATCACCTGTTGTATTGCATCATGGGAATGTGGCACAGGTTGCACAGTCGTAAAACCTGGGGGTGTCATTGATTGGAATTTTTAGTATTGATTTATCCACATAAAAGTATCACAATATATCTATATATTGATTAGGAATAATATTAATTATTCTGTATATGTATGAATAAACATTACCTGCATTGACCTTCAATTAATCGATTTAAAGTTAAAAACAAACTAGGCTGATCAATCATGTCAATTAGACATTTAAAGTTGAACTTTCTGCCTTCTCATTGTCCATCTTGACCATAGTAACCTTAAGGAATAATGACATTTCTGTGGCAGTAAATTTGTATCATTGACATAAAATATTACTGATAGTACATTGATATCTCGATGTATAATCACATCCCAGAAGGTGGCATAATTCACTGAGTTGTGTCCCTTAGGCATGCCAGAAACCTATTACATGTATCATGGGTTTGAATCCAGATTTGCCCGGATTATGTTTCTAGGTTTGTCAGAATCATAACAATGCTTGTGGGATTACCCAAGTTGTAAACATCTAAGACCCACATTACTTAGAGATTTCCTCCCACATGACACTCTGTAATATAACTAGGGGCGGTGGGGAGGCCTAGTGGTTAAAACGTTCGCTCGTCACGCAGAAGGCCAGGGTTCGATTACTCTTCAGGTAGTGGAGTTACACATGTTCGTTTACTCTTCAGGTAGTGGAGTTACACATATTCAAGTACTCCAATAACGTATCCAGTGGCATTATCATCATCACCATGGTTACACATGTGAGAGTGCTTTTTACAACCATAAACAGAGATTGCATCATGGTTGTAGCGTTTTCCTTTGATCTCACCTCTAGACATGTTGAAAGGACCTTAGAAGGCGGAACCCTTCTGTGAACAGCATGTATACTTTTTTCAGTTCAGCATTCGTTTGCTTTAAAATATGTGACATAGGACCTGTGAAACACAGCCACCATCACCACCAGCACGGTAACCAGTACCAGGATGCATGTTCCATATTGAATGGCGGGACCAGTGTAACATGGAATATTTTGAGAAGTGGTGATAGCAGAGGAGTTGCTTCTCTGAAAATATCATCCATTAGCTGTGTGCAGACATTCAATAAATGTGGCTGATTTTCTTTTCAACTAAAAATATATTCCATGAATATGTGTGATAAGGACATTTTGGGTGCCTAGGTGGGTACTGAATATGACTTGGTTGGGAGTTATCATACAAATAGTATTCTAAATTCCTTTGAGCTTTGTCATATTTTTTAGATTCATTTCAAGATCTTTCAATTTATTATATATGCTGGTACATATTTCCATTATCTATGAATTATCTTGTCAAAAGTGGAGTTGTATAACAAGGCTTATAGGAGCCTCAACATGCTCAAGGTCTGTGAGAATTCACACTGGTGTCAATTGATTGTGATATGATTTGCTTTGAGGGGCTATAAATCTATGATTGTTTTTTATATTGTGTTTATTACATATCATTAACAATGTACTGATCACAGGGTAACAATGTGACAGAATGGCCCAGAAATAAGGTCAATATTTATGTAGCAAATTTAATAGAATATTATATTTGTGTGATATTTATGTATAGCATTCACGACTTTTGATTTAAGTCAATGCAATAGTGTTAGGTGAGCCAATTATGAGAAATAAATAAGTGATTTTAGCATCTTTACAAGCAACCATTATCTTGTTTGTCAAAGGATGGACGACGACAATTATATCATCTTACACGTAAAATGCTTGAATTTTATTGGTCAATAACGTGTATAACTAGAAATAATATACCCTGCCGTCATGGCAACATACATTTTCGTTATCTCTCCTAATAGAGAAATAGAGATAACGGGATCGCGTGGTCAGGCTCGCTGACTTGGTTGGTGCATGTCATCGATCCCAATTGTGTGGATCGATGCTCTTGATGTCAATCACTGGATTGTCTGGTCCAGACTCGATTCTTTACAGACCGCCTTCATATAGCTGGAATATTGCTGAGTGCGGCGTTAAACAACAAACAAATAATAGAGAAATGTTGTCACGTAATGTACAGTGTATAAACATAGGCTTTGAAGTATGTGTCTACTGGAGGTCACCTGCAGATGTGGCAACAAACATTTCGCATTCCAATCATCTTTTGTTTTCAAATTGTGGTATATGATAAACATGGGGGGTTAAAAAAAATGACTGTGTCATAGCAACCTTATGAGAGGTGAAACGTTCAAGTGAGACCTGCTGAGAGGTTTTTCATTTGAATTGTAAGACCTGCTTGGAGGTACTTGGTATCTGCAGACTTTTCCCTCGCTTACCACGGGCAGATCCAGATATGGGTCAGTACTCCCCCCACCCACCCACTCCTTTTGAAGACCAAATGTATGTTGTAATCAGTAAAATTATCTAAGAGAGGGTTTTGATAATTTGGACCCCTCCCTTTTATAAATGCTGGATCTACCCATGCTCGAGGCTTTACATTTTCCACCAAAACCTTGGAGTTGTTTTTATCTATAGCAACTAAACAGTTGTGATTAATGCCTTCAGTTGTTGTTTACCTTCGTTTTGAGAAATGGTTTCAGATTACTGGTTCTATTAAGCTGTGATGTAACACTTACAGTTTGACTTGTACATATGTGATTGATACTTATATTTCCTTTGTTAAATAAATTACATCAAACAATATCAACTGAGTCTTCCTGTGTGTTGATGTATGCCATGATGTTTCTTTGTTGTTTAACGCCACACTCAACAATATTCCAGCTGTATGACGGCGGTCTGTAAATAATCGAGTCTGGACCAGACAATCCATTGATTGATATCATGAGAATCGATCCACACAATTGGGATCGATGGCATGCTTCAACCAAGTCAGCAAGCCTGACCACCCGATCCTGTTAGTCTCCTCTTACGATAAGCACAGTGTACATGTCACTGAAGTACTGTGTATACCACCCTTGTTCATGCCAATGAAGTACTGTGAAAACCACCCTTGTTCATGCCACTGAAGTACTGTGTATACCACCCTTGTTCATGCTATACATGCCACTGAAGTACTGTGTATACCACCCCTGTTCATGCTATACATGCCACTGAAGTACTGTGTATACCACCCTTGTTCATGCCACTGAAGTACTGTGTATACCACCCTTGTTCATGCTATACATGCCACTGAAGTACTGCGTATACCACCCCTGTTCATGCTATACATACCACTGAAGTACTGTGTATACCACCCTTGTTCATGCCACTGAAGTACTGTGTATACCACCCCTGTACATGCTATACATGCCACTGAAGTACTGTGTATACCACCCCTTGTTCATGCCAATGAGACCACGGTTCGATTCCCGACATGGGTACAATGTGTGAAGCCCATTTCTGGTGTCCCCCGCCCTGATATTGCTGGAATATTGCTAAAGGCGGCGTAAAACCATACTCACTCACTCATTCATGCCAATGAAGTACTGTGAAAACCACCCTTGTTCATGCCACTGAAGTACTGTGTATACCATCCTTGTTCATGCTATACATGCCACTGAAGTACTGTGTATACCACCCCTGTACATGCTATACATGCCACTGAAGTACTGTGTATATCACCCTTGTTCATGCCAATGAAGTACTGTGAAAACCACCCCTGTACATGCTATACATGCCACTGAATTACTGTGTATACCACCCTTGTTCATGCCAATGAAGTACTGTGTATACCACCCCTGTACATGCCAATGAAGAAGTGTGTATATCACCCCTGTACATGCTATACATGCCACTGAAGTACTGTGTATACCACCCCTGTACATGTCACTGAAGTACTGTGTATACCACCCCAGTACATGTCACTGAAGTACTGTGTATACAATCCTTGTACATACTATACATGTTGTATTGAAGTACTGTGTATACCACCCTTGTACATGTCACTGAAATACTGTGTATACCACCCCTGTACATGTCACTGAAGTCCTGTTTATACCACACCTGTATGTCACTAAAGTACTGTGTATACCACCCCTATTCATGCCACTGAAGTACTGTGTATACCACCCTTGTACATGCAATACACGCCACTGAAGTACTGTGTATACAATCCTTGTACATGCTATACATGTTACTGAAGTACTGTGTATACCCCCCTTGTACATGTCACTGTAATACTGTGTATACCACCCCTGTATATGTCACTGAAGTACTGTGTATACCACCCCTGTACATGCCATACACGCCACTGAAGTACTGTGTACACAATCCTTGTACATGCTATACATGTTACTGGAGTACTGTGTATACCCCCATTGTAAATGCCACTGAAATACTGTGTATACCACCCCTGTATATGTCACTGAAGTACTGTGTATACCACCCCTGTACATGCCATACATGTCACTGAAGTACTGTGTATACAATCCTTGTACATGCTGTACATGCCAATGAAGTACTGTGGAAACCACCCTTGTTCATGCCACTGAAGTACTGTGTATACCATCCTTCTTCATGCTTACATGCCACTGAAGTACTGTGTATACCACCCCTGTACATGCTGTACATGCCAATGAAGTACTGTGGAAACCACTCTTGTTCATGCCACTGAAGTACTGTGTATACCACCCTTGTTCATGCTATACATGCCACTGAAGTACTGTGTATACCACCCCTGTACATGCTATACATGCCACTGAAGTACTGTGTATAGCACCCTTGTTCATCCCAATGAAGTACTGTGGAAACCACCCTTGTTCATGCCACTGAAGTACTGTGTATACCACCCTTGTTCATGCTATACATGTCACTGAAGTACTGTGTATACCACCCCTGTACATGCTATACATGCCACTGAAGTACTGTGTATAGCACCCTTGTTCATGCCAATGAAGTACTGTGAAAACCACAATTGTTCATGCCACTGAAGTACTGTGTATACCATCCTTGTTCATGCTATACATGCCACTGAAGTACTGTGGAAACCACCCCTGTACATGCTATACATGCCACTGAAGTACTGTGTATACCACCCCTGTACATGCTATACATGCCACTGAAGTACTGTGTATATCACCCTTGTTCATGCCACTGAAGTACTGTGTATACCACCCCTGTACATGCCATACACGCCACTGAAGTACTGTGTATACCACACCTGTATATGTCACTAAATTACTGTGTATACCACCCCTGTACATGCCATACATGTTACTGAATACTGTGTATACCACCCTTCTACATGTCACTGAAATACTGTGTATACCGGCCCTCTACATGCCACTGAAGTGCTGTGTATACCACCCCTGTACATGTCCCTGAAGTACTGTGTATACAATCCTTGTACATGCTATACATGTTACTGAAGTACTGTGTATACCACCCTTGTACATGTCACTGAAATACTGTGTATACCACCCCTGTACATGTCACTGAAGTACTATGTATACCACCCCTGTACATGTCATACACGCCACTGAAGTACTGTGTATACAATCCTTGTACATGCTATACATGTTACTGGAGTACTGTGTATACCACCCTTGTACATGTCACTGAAATACTGTGTATACCACCCCTGTATATGTCACTGAAGTACTGTGTATACCACCCCTGTACATGCCATACATGTCACTGAAGTACTGTGTATACCACCCCTGTACATGTCACTTAAGTACTGTGTATACCACCCCTGTACATGTCACTGAAGTACTGTGTATACCACCCTTATACATGCTATACATGCAATTTAGGTACTGTGTATACCACCCCTGTACATGCCACTGAAGTACTGTGTATACCACCCCTGTACATGTCACTGAAGTACTGTGTATAACACCCTTATACATGCTATACATGCCATTGAGGTACTGTGTATACCACCCCTGTACATGCCATACATGCCACTGAAGTACTGTGTATTCCAACCTTGTTCATGCCAATGAAGTACTGTGGAAACCACCCTTGTTCATGCCACTGAAGTACTGTGTATACCATCCTTGTTCATGCTATACATGCCACTAGTACTGTGTATACCACCCTTGTTTATGAAATACATGCCACTGAAGTACTGTGTATACCACCCCTGTACATGCTATACATGCCACTGAAGTACTGTGTATACCACCCTTGTTCATGCCAATGAAGTACTGTGAAAACCACCCTTGATCATGCCACTGAAGTACTGTGTATACCAACCCTGTACATGTCCCTGAAGTACTTTGTATACAATCCTTGTACATGCTATACATGTTACTGAAGTACTGTGTATACCACCCTTTTACATGTCACTGAAATACTGTGTATACCACCCCTGTACATGTCACTGAAGTACTGTGTATACCACCCCTGTTCATGCCACTGAAGTACTGTGTATACCACCCCTGTACACGTCACTGAAGTACTGTGTATACCACCCTTGTTTATGATATACATGCCACTGAAGTACTGTGTATACCACCCCTGTACATGCTATACATGCCACTGAAGTACTGTGTATATCACCCTTGTTCATGCCACTGAAGTACTGTGAAAACCACCCTTGTTCATGCCACTGAAATACTGTGTATACCACCCCTGTACATGTCCCTGAAGTACTGTGTATACCACCCCTGTTCATGCCACTGAAGTACTGTGTATACCACCCCTGTACACGTCACTGAAGTACTGTGTATACCACACCTGTACATGCCACTGAAGTACTGTGTATACCACCCCTGTACATGTCACTGAAGTACTGTGTATACCACCCTTGTACATGCCATACACGCCACTGAAGTACTGTGTATACCACCCTTGTACAGGTCACTGAAATACTGTGTATACCGGCCCTCTTCATGCCACTGAAGTACTGTGTATACCACCCCTGTACATGTCCCTGAAGTACTGTGTATACAATCCTTGTACATGCTATACATGTTACTGAAGTACTGTGTATACCACCCTTTTACATGCCACTGAAGTACTGTGTATACCACCCCTGTACATGCTCTACATGCCAATGAAGTATATGTATATCACCCTTGTTCATGCCAATGAAGTACTGTGGAAACCACCCCTGTACATGCTATACATGCCACTGAAGTACTGTGTATACCACCCCTGTACATGCTATACATGCCACTGAAGTACTGTGTATATCACCCTTGTTCATGCCACTGAAGTACTGTGTATACCACCCCTGTACATGCCATACACGCCACTGAAGTACTGTGTATACCACACCTGTATATGTCACTAAATTACTGTGTATACCACCCCTGTACATGCCATACATGTTACTGAAGTACTGTGTATACCACCCTTCTACATGTCACTGAAATACTGTGTATACCGGCCCTCTACATGCCACTGAAGTGCTGTGTATACCACCCCTGTACATGTCCCTGAAGTACTGTGTATACAATCCTTGTACATGCTATACATGTTACTGAAGTACTGTGTATACCACCCTTGTACATGTCACTGAAATACTGTGTATACCACCCCTGTACATGTCACTGAAGTACTATGTATACCACCCCTGTACATGTCATACACGCCACTGAAGTACTGTGTATACAATCCTTGTACATGCTATACATGTTACTGGAGTACTGTGTATACCACCCTTGTACATGTCACTGAAATACTGTGTATACCACCCCTGTATATGTCACTGAAGTACTGTGTATACCACCCCTGTACATGCCATACATGTCACT